CCCTTGGTTGGATGATCACCAGCCTCGCCTTTCCCAACTCGCTTCCAATACCTGGTTACTGAAACAACTGTACTGATCTCCGGTCTGTCTACCCACGTTTGTGTTTAGATCTTAGACAGACGGGACCAGCAGGGATTGGGGCCGATACAAGTTGAGTCCGACGGGGTGGCAAAACACAAGTAAAAGAAAAAAAACTCACGAGACAAAAATTACTGATAAAAAAAGGGTGACAACCTTTTATATCTAATGTCCGTTACATAAAGAAAAAATTGTTCTCAATTCCTGACCCGCTCTGTGGACTATGGTAAAATTGACAGAAAGTTTCTATCACACAACAAAAAAGATTTCGAATTGCCTACTCTTTAGAATTGTATGTCGGAGTGTGGTTTAGTTCGACACTGGGGCTAATTTCTATCGATCATTCGCAGTTGATTCTTCTCTTCGACTTGAGTTGTATTTCTTCTTCTTCGTCGACTAAGATAGAACTTCTCTTGTCTTCGACTTGGCTGCAACTTCTCTTGTCTTCGACTTGGCTGCAACTTCTCTGCGGCTTTCGAGTAATCTTCTTCTTCGTCTGCTTGGGCTGGAAGTTCTCTTGTCTTCGACTTGGGCTGGAAGGATTTCTTGCCGCAACTCAGCCGGTACTCTCTGTCGTTCGAGGTGATCTCTTCTCGCTGCCGTCCGGGGCTGAACTCTTCTGTCTTCGACTTGGGCTGGAAGGATTTCTTGTCTGAGGATTCTTTTGCCTGCAAAGGGGCGAGTGAATCGGGCCCGATGCCCGGGTTCAGGCTCTTTCCCTGCCCGCGGTCCAGCTGCAACTCCACTCCAACTGATTTCTGTCGACTGGGGTCCTGCTTTTATTGACGCCGCAACAAACCGGGGTGGGTCTGTCGGCGTCAGGGGTTTCTCAATAATTCCAATAGCTGCCTTATTTCTGTCTTCTCATTATCGCTATTGTTTTCATCCCTACTTCCTCACAGTGCCCTTGGTGGGAGGCGCACACCCATCTTTCCCGGTCCCTCGTATGTCAGGTGACCGCTCTCGACCAATGATTCCTGATCGAGCACTTCTTTCTCTTCCTTTCCGCAGATCACGTGACCGTTTCCGACCAATTGTTATTGATCGAGCATCCTTTCTCCTATTTTCGGGCGTGGTTACATCGTTCTTGTTTTAAAAAACAAAATCTAATTTGGCCTTTTTTCGCATCGTACGAAAAATGATAATCTTAGCTTTTTCTCACCTGGGCTCTGTCAAAACAGCCCGCCGATAATTAGATGTGACTTCAGGGAAGAATATTGGCGCTATCTGTGAACTGAGACAATCGTTTTTTCACCTCTTGTTTTTTGTCAGACCGACAGTCAGAAAATCTTAATTATCTACATTGAAAATGTCCCCACTTTGTTATCATGGGTTTCCAATTCTTAATAGGTCAGAATCTGTATATAGTTCCACCGGTCACTCCCCTCAACCCAAAAGACACTTTTTCTCCGAAAAAAAAAAAAAAAAAATTCGTTTCTATTGTTCTAAAATTTCCCTTTCTCCAGATTAAGATTTTCGTTCCCATTGTTCTAAAATTTCCCTTTACTCCAAATTGATAATGAGTCTTTCTACATAAAAAGTCGGTCATGCGCTTCGACCGACATTCTTATCAAAATGACTTTCCCTTCTAAATAATATTTCTTTTCATTGTCTCTCGAAAATCGGCCAAGATGTTGACCTAAAATACCTTTCTGATACGTGTTTTTGTTAATGACCGCTTTTTTGCATTTCTTGACCTCTCTTTCCCTTCTTTCTATCTTCCCTTCTTTCTTTTTTCTCTTCTTTCCTCTTTCTCCCCTTAGGATCGTCTAAGTACAATCTTAGTGAATTATTTTCAACTCAATTATTTTCCGTTTAAAAAAAAAAAATCAACAACCTGTTTAGTAAACCGAGTAAAAAAAAATTAAATCATATTTCTATGAATATTTCTAATAATGCAAGGTGCCACAATGGTTTGAACTGAGAACCGCTGCCAATTCCTCAACTGATAAAGCAGGGCTGCTTCAATTTTTTTTTTCATCAAACTCAACTGGACGTCCGGTTCGATCTTCATCTTCAAGGATGAAATCTCCACCTCTGAATTTTGAAAACCATCTTCTGCAAGTTCTTTCATTCACCCATTCCTCTCCATAAACTAAGTGAATGTTTCTAGCCACTTCGGCTGCTGAGTTTCCTTTCTTGAACTCATAAAGCATTATGTGCCTCAAATGATTCTTGGGTACCTCCATGTTAGCAGGGTTTTAATCAAACACAATTTAATTTTATTGTTCTCTGAAATAAAATTTGATCAGTTTTAATGCATATATATACATAAAAAATAATGTTCAGCTCCATTAGACATTATAAAATACTCTTTAAATTTCGTTCATTTTAAAAAAAAGGTAAAACTCGGACAGAACTTATGGGATGACTTGATAGTACTGTGCTTACATTCATAAAGCATAGGTACCTCAAAAGAAAG